CACTTTTATCTAAGTAACCAGGAAAGCTGAGAGGCTGAAATTTTGGGCATATGTCCGTGTGTCACACTCCCGTTTTAGGATCTTCCTCCAAACGCGCCAAGACCCCTGTACAGCCCCCCAAAAAAATATGCATGTTCTTCGGCGGGAAAGGATTTTGCGAACCAGGCGAGGTACAAGGCTTAAACTTTGCAGGGATATTTTTTGTGCATGTGCGAGCTAAACAGCTCAAATTCAACTGTCGCCCACGCTTGTGTAGTGCACACGATCACGTCAAAGTTTGCAGCTCAGTACTGTGCTAACTCGAAAACTTGTCGTAAAACAGTGGCTGAAACTTTGCCAGCATATTTGCCACCCATATGGGAAATCGTATGCCTAAAATGAGTACCGATTAGCACTTGCGCTACGATTTAGGGCACTTCAAGGATACTTGTAGCGAAGTGGATATTTTGCTTACCGGACAAGCTGCGAGGCTGAAAATCCGCTAGGATGTTCTACTTTGAAGTGCGGTCTTAATTCGGCATGGAAGTGAAATTCCATTTAGATGGACATAAAAAATACTTAACTTTTCCGAAAAATTAGAAGCGAGTGCATTTTGCAGCGAACGAGCACCCTCGCCCAAATACGTAAATGAACATCCAGTTCATTTGTATGCTTTTTGACAAACGACTGCTCGAGCAACATTTCTACTTTTTAATGAACTGGAAGTTCGCGTTTTTTCAAAAAGCGAGCATTTACCGAAAAAACGATCGTGCTTCACGCAAAAACTGGTAATCATGGCCTGAAGGTCTTTGCGGCCCTATAATGCAACACCTTCATCCCACCTGACGTCCTTTCTCCTGCATGCGGGAAGAGGCCAGAGCGCGTTCAGTATGAGTCTAAGCTTTAGACTATAGCGCAAGGGTCATTCCAGCTACTAGCGAACTGCGAGTTTAGTACAAAAATTCATGATCACACCGGTAAGTCTAGTGCGTTCCACCCCGGGTTTTTTATTGGATTTCTGCATCTTTTGCCTGAAAAAAATCTAATCATACAAAGGGATAATTTTACAAACCGTTAGCGTTAATTTTCCATCCAGTTAATAATACGAAATGATATGGGACATCGGCAACGCCAAAAATTAGATCGGCGAACGGAAGCAACATGAGCGTGTG